TCACAATCTCAATTTTCTGATAAATTTGTCTTTCCAAACAGGTTGGTATTCCTCCTGCACCTCGTGGTGTTCCTCAAATTGAAGTTACGTTTGACATTGATGCTAACGGGATCGTCAATGTAACTGCTCGTGACAAGGGAACCGGCAAAGAACAACAAATTGTCATTCGTTCTGGTGGTGGATTAAGCAAAGATGAAATAGAGAATATGGTACGTAATGCAGAACAGTACGCTGAGGTGGATAAGAAACGGAGGGATCTTGTAGAAGCGGTAAATCAAGCTGAGGGCATAGTGCATGATACAGAATCAAAAATTAGTGAATATAAGGATCAGTTACCTGCAGAAGAGGTAAGTGGGCTTAGTTGTATTAAACAAGCTGTATTAGTACATAAACATTTTTTCACATATATTACATACCCCTGTGTTCGAAGGTCAAGTAGCAGGATGGATGTCACTGTGATACTCTACGGACGTCGGCATTGTGTCGTAAACGTTACACCACCGAGGTCTGTAGCTGTAGAGCACTATGTCAATGAACGCGTGCTAATTTATTCTGAGGGTAGGACGTTTATGGTCACCGTCGTTTTAATTTTTCCGTGGGGAGCACAGTGATTGCAGTCCAATGCTTGATGTGTTTAAAACTTGTCTTTCTAACGTAACCTAGAAATAGAAAGTACTAGAAAGGTACTTGAAACCTAATTGTGAAGAGGTATGTGTAAAATCTGTCTAGTAATGGCGAGTTAGTCTCTTTTGCAAGTGTGCTACTGCATAGTGTTTTTTGTGTTGATCTACGTGATTTGAGACCACAGTAATTAATGTTGAAGAAATATTTCGGGAGTTAGATAAAACAAACAACTTCTGTTCAAAGTATGTATATGTATTGTCCTCTTTTAAATGTGTTTAAATGTCAGAGATACGATGTAAATGTGCACTAGTGCTCAGTTCCGGGTCCCGGTCAATAAGGTTTTTCTATGGTTCATACGCGGATTTCACCGGAATACTGCAAATTCCACCTAAATAATGATGTCATCTTAAACTACTAAGCTTCTGTATGTTGAAACATAATCATCCAATGAAAATTCCATTAGTTTTCGGACAAATTTCTTGTCCTCGATCATGTTATGGCACCAATGTGTGACTCAGAACACTCACTAAATCGGTTATTTAGTTCGATGCCAATTCTCTCGTTCATCGATTAGTTTATCGTACCTCCCTGGAACTTCTCGTTTCGATTCAGTCTTTCAGAGTTGTAGTTTAGTGATACACCCAAATGCTCTCAAATGTCGTACTCATGTGGGACAAAAAGGAAGCGTCTGGTTATATTGCATGTATGAGACAGTTAATGCACAGCAACTGACGGACTAAACAGTTTTTCAAATGAGTGTTCACAATTATAGGAAGACGTATTCCACACCCGAATGTATTCACTTTCATTCCGATTAATTCAATAGGTTAAGTGAGCTTCAAGAAATTGGTTAACCACGTTAGCGAACAAAAAATCGGTCATGCAGGTGGTGTAAACATTGAAATTTAAACTAAACTGTGCTCATTTTCTGGCAACGATTTCAAAAGGCCAGCGAAGAAGTGGATGACTGATTCAACTGTATACTGTCTCCAATAATACTTGGTTTCGTAGGTGAAATAGTTTGAATATAGCATATGTTTAAGGTACTTGCTAAATAAATCTGTAGAAAGTTTGAGATGAAGCAGAACAAGTGATATTCTTAATCGGTGTTTATCTATACCCAGAGGAAGTAAACAAATATTAGAGCGATGTACATGAGATTAACTTTTAGGCAACTGTTAATAGTGGACAGTCCTTGATGTGTAGACGAGGAAAGTGTATCATGGTATGTCACTAGAACGTAGAATGTCTCGTGGTCAAATAGTGGTGTTTTTTTCTTATTCGTATAAAAATAGCTCCATAGTCAGCAAAGCTGGTGACTTTCAGGACTTCGTATTTCATTTGGATTCACCTGTTTCGTGAATATGAAGATTGTCCTTATTATTTTATTTATCAAGTCTGCTTAAATTGTTTTCCTTTTTGTCTTTAGAGAGAAAAACTCAGTGGTCTTATTGACAAACTGAAAAACCGTCTGGCTGACAAAGAGAATGAGACAGCTGAAAGTATTCGTGAAGCTACAAATGAACTTCAGCAAGCATCCTTGAAATTATTTGAAGTTGCTTATAGAAAGGTTAGTTTCCCATAATTTCGTACCTAATTGGCTGAATATAGATGGCAGGTGAACAAGGCTCAAAATCGGATTCCCAAAGCGATGAATCTGCTAAACAGGAAAAGCAATAGTTGAAAGCAACGCTCCCTCGTGAACAAATTCCTACTTGCACCAAGAAGTCCAAAAATCTTATCGGTTTTGTTATAGTGACAATCCCGAATACATTACTGTGTTTAATTCTTCTTAAACTAGCTTTAGTTCCAAATTCTCCCTGCTTGTGAAAATTGTGTAAATACTCAACATTGTCATAATTAATACACTTTCTCATTAATTTAGGGTAAAAATTCTGACTCCTTGCGTCTTTTTGGTGTACTAAGCAACTCTCAAACAGAGAGTGTTCACGTGAAAGTGTATCAAAATGATGTAATAATACTAGTCTTGACAAGATATTGAGGTCCTCTCGCTCACTTTTAAAATAATAGTCTATCGTGGATTGTCTATATTGTGCAAGTCGAACTCCACAGTTCTAAAGGCACTAAGTTTTGTGAATGATATTTCCGTGAATACAACATTCTGTGTATAGGATATTAGTGAATTATACTAGCGTCCGTGGATATATTCTTTCTGTTTCATGATAGGAAGCATTTAAGTTGCGGCTATGGCGCAGAGTATTGACCGTCTCAAACCAACGGAGACTATGTTCTGCAACCAACAGACACTTAAACGTAGATCAAATTTATCTATTATTATTATTATTATTATTAAATAACTCGCAAAAAGTGACCAAATCCCTAGTCAATAAGGTGATGGATACTAGCGCAAATGAACAACTAATCGCAAGCATCAGGGGAGAGTTCTATCATTCATTGAGGACTCAGATATATTCACTACATATTTTTCTACTCTAAAGTTGTCGTGTGGAGAGACGATGAAAGCTTCTCAGTTAGACCACCCAGCTCAGAAAACGCAGCCGTACTGAAATCGTCCACTCGAGCTACAAATCTTCTGCGGTATTTCTTTAGTATTGCTTTATCATAGTGCATCTAAGGTTTTTAGGCTGACCTCGAAACAGCACACCGAATACGTGTATATAAAATAGACGAACGTATTTGAGCGAAAGAGTAATGTAGTGGTCAGCAATGGTATTCGAGTGTGAAACGTGTTAAAATAAATACCCGTACGCCTTTGCTAGTGATTTCCGTCCCGGTTGACAACCAACACTGTCATATACTGGTAGAATCTTTTTTTCTAGATCTTGAGTTATATAAGGCAAAGCTTTTCAATCGCCAAAACCAGTGCTTGAACTAACTAAAACTATTGGCTTTTATTATATATACACAGGAGCTATCTGTGCTGCATGTCATCGTCTGTAGCACTGCAGGTGTCACGCAAATTAACTTGTTATTTTGATTTCAAAATAAGTAAGAGCGGATGGTGAACTAAGTTTCACTTAACTTCTGGCGTCAGTGTAGTTTTTAGCAAATTTAAATTTGTGAATCGCAAACTTCTACTCGATAACTTCCAGGCACGTACTCACCACGCATTGCTTTCTTTTGACTGCATTCCATCATCTTACAATAAATGTGGTATAAGTGAATTACATTGTGGTACCTTCACTGGTCGTTACTGTTAGTGAGTCCGACTATCACTGACACTATATGTGTTCACTTTGACTATTTCAATAGATCATTTGCCAGTAAGAAAATTAAATAGTCTATATTTTAAGGCTTCAACCACTCTGCAGTGTGGTATGACACTAACCCATACTAGTGAATGATTTTTTTTTCACACCTGGCTTTGTAACCTAATACTGCAAGCTGACAGGAGTTGAGGAACATACGTTGAGAAAGTGGTAATAGTATTTAAGAATCTTCTCGAACTTTTTGCATACAGTAAATCCGTCGAAATTACTCAGAATAGTTTTTATATGTAATTAGTATTATCTGACGAAGATTTATAGTTAGCTGCTACTGGTCAATGGTACGTTTTCCTCTGGAAATTTCTTGGAGTTTCACGTCATATTATTTTCGTATCTCACTACTTGGTTAGGATTGGTTTTAAGGTAAGTTTCGTTATGAAATGACATCATTTAAAGCGACACAGGAATCTAGTGACTATTGATCAACTGTTTCATCCTAATTTTGAATTCTTTGCCCCATGGGGCAAAATAATATGTATAATACAGTTAAGCAGTAGTAGATAAGCCATCCTTTTGTTTGTTGTATGAAATGCTAGTACTACAATGCGCTACAGCTATCATAGCTCATTGGAGTTACAAGAAGTGTAGGGCGTTGCGCAGACTACTTACAAAACGTAAAAAAGTTATCCATTTTGGTATGTGGAATACTTCAGTGGAAGAGGCCTCGCTTTCTACGTAATTCGTTTCCCCATGATAGCACAAGACTGCTTATGTAAAATGTTATCAACACTGATAAATCTGACCAGCGGTTTTTAAAAGATGGTGGCCCATTTGCGGTATATTATACTCTTTTTCTCAGTATCATTCCTACGTGTTCAAGCTAAGTGTAGTCATAAGGCTCAATAATAAAATGAATATGATGAGGTTTTAAATAGAGTATTCGTTGGTAGTTAGATGTCTGCTACATTTTTCTTTTTGTTTTCACGATATTTAATCTAGCTGACCTGATAGTATTTTCTGCCTATTGATTGGATGTCTAAGACATTCCCGAAGAAGTCTGTTATTCTGATTATTATTGTTGTATTGTTACTGTGATTACAGAGGTAATTGATAACACTAAAAAAGTTATTGTTCAATTAGATTTTTAACGAATATAACCATCGGTTGAGCCGTCTGAAATTTTTTTTAATGGGTGGTGACGGAGGCAGTATACCTCGTCGTGATGATCTTGTTAAGTCAAAAAAGAAACAAGAAGTTGCTAATCGGGAGGCAGCTAACATGGCACTCTGGAAGCATTGTTCACTTACACAAGATCCTCTTCGCCAACCTGTGGTTTCCTGCTTGCTAGGAAGGTAATTTCATTTATCACTTAACATTAATTGTGATAATAGACTTTACAGCAAAGAGTCCGTTATCAACAAGCTGCTAACTAAAACGAAGGGAGATGGGTTCTCTGACCATATTAAGAAGCTAAGAGATGTGAAGGAGCTACGTCTGAGTGTAACAACTTCGGATGGTACTACTACCCTGGATCCACAGTTATTTTACTGTCCAGTAACAGGTCTCGAAATGTCTGGTATATATCCTTTCGTGTATCTTTGGGGCTGTGGTTGTGTATTCTCAAAGAAGGCTCTCACGGAAGTTAGCAGTAATTTATGCATGCTGGTAGGTAGTTATCATATGGACTTGGTAGTGTAATTGGTATTCACTACATTTTGTAACATTTTCACTTTCTACTCACCCTATTCAAAGTCAAAGCGTTATTCATTTCATATGTTGGTCAGTAACTTCGTACCAAACTGGTGGTTTTTGACACTGGTTGCTGAGTATTTTTACTAAGAGAAGTTAAAGGACCACCGCCAGCCTGCACCTTCCATAAGAGTTTCATTTCACTGCAAGCTAAGAAGATTACATATTTGTACTAAACGGCAACAAAAATTAGCCAGTCCTTCATATATGCAGGTCATTGCTTAGGTATAAATTGATAGTGCGTCGGTGGCACAGTGGTTAGGACTCTCGCCGACCATGCACATGGTCCGGGGTTCGATCCCCTGCCGGCGCACACCCGATATCTATGGTCGGCCTGTGAAATTTGGGCTACCGATATCCATGCTGAAAATACCATACTTGTAATGAAAATACTGTGTGGTATCAAGCTGTAATCAAAAATAAAAATAAAATAAAAATAAATAACAACGAAATGTTTTCCGAATTTCATCATCTTTATTTTCATTGGCCAGAGAAAACAACCTGTTTGAAGTCTTATCTGACTGTTGACTTGGATAAATAGTTATTGGTTTAGAGTCAGCAGTTTTGTTTGAATATAGTTATTTGTCTTGTATGTTTGTTATCAGATAAGTTTATTTATATTAACGTAGGCGATTGAATGAATTAAGTCGAATACAAAGTCATGTGTTTTTAATTTCTGTCTACTTACTTCAGTTATATAAGTATGAAACTTGGGCACTGTAGTAGAGTATAACTCCTTTATGGATAAGTTTTATTTTGATAAATCATACAGTATTATACAGTAATATTTACTGATGACGTTTCGAGCACAAATTATTCCTCACACTCATCAAGTCACTCACACACCGTATGAGTAAATATTTCTGTACAAACTGTTTGATTTATGAAGGAAATAAAAGACAGATTCAGCGAAGAAAATTTTCTTTATCGATGAAGTCATCTTCAGAGGCTGTACAATCGTATTTATACTTACAAAAAATATATAGTGGTCTATTATTGAGCAATAGGGGGTGACATAATTAATATAATTACTCAGAAGTGGTTTTAGAAGTGAAAATTAAAAGTTGTAAATTACGTGGTACTCAACGGCACAAAGATAGAAATTTGATAAGGTTAAAATTGCTATTAAGTGAGAATAAAGGTATTTGAGTGTCAATTTAGCAAGTGTGAAGGGGGTGTGAAAATATACAAAAGGAGCATATGAGAGTGATAATAGTGAATTAATTATTAAAGCAAAAGCTAACTAAAAGTGAAATTAGAATGAAAAGAAAAATCAAAATATATTTTATTTACAAGGAACGATTAGTGAAGAGGTTAAGACCAAGGTAGAATAAGAGACTGGACAAACTTTTTCTGTATACAGAGTTCAGGGTTGTATTGATGAATTGCCAGAGCCTCCGCCATACACAAAAGCCGAAACCTGACGCCCTTTGTACCATTTGGCTTCACTTTGTAGATGATCTTGAAAGACGATTCTGGTGGAGCTACGTGGCCTGAGTTCACCAAATGCTCGAGAATTGAGCTAGTAATTGTCTTACATTGTCCCTTTGCTAACCATGCCGGATAATGTTCAGAGATGCGTTTGGAAAGCGTGCGCTTTGTGCGGCCAATATAACTAGCTCCACACGAGCAAGTGAATTTATAAACACACATTGAGGTGGCCCAAAGCGGCAGTTTATCCTTCACACATCCGTTGATCATTTGTCGGCTGTAGAAATTGATACGTAGCTCAGCCATAAAGAAGGCTTTCCTCAGTGATCTGCATAAGCGATTCTTCAGGATCTCAGCTGCGGTATCACCTTTAAATTCAACACTCATAAACAGTAGTTTCTTCGGCACCGTCTGTATTCTTTCAGGTTTTTCCCTTGGCTTCATGTTTTTCTCGATAAATCTTGGAGGATATCCATTCTCTATGAGGACTTGTCTGAGTCGCTCCAGTTCTCCAACGATTGTATCACTTGAACATATCCTCCTTATTCTTGAGGATAAGGAATGGATCAGATTTCTCTTTCTTCTCAAAGGGACCCAGCTATGGAAATTTGTGTACTGACCATTCCATGTTGGTTTCCTGTAGATCGATCTTTGAAGAGAACCATCAGATCTCCTCTTTAGAAAAACATCCAAAAAATGGAATTCCGAGTTAATCTCTGATTCCGACGTGAACTTGATGGCATGATGGCAGCTGTTGAACTCTTTAGTTATCAATTCGATGTCGGTATTGTCGTCACATATGATGAAAGTATCATCCATGTATCTTTGGTACAGATGGAAACTGTCGATAGTAGGCCGTAAAATATTATTCTCCAAACTAGCCAAGAAGCAGTCTGCAAGTAAAGGACCCAATGGTGACCCCATTGCCACTCCATCTCTTTGTCTATAAATCGTGTTGTTGAACTTGAACTGGACATTTAGAGTGCACCTCAATAGTAGTTCCTTTAAGTAGTGGATCGGAACACATACGTCTACATTATTATCCTCAATGAATTTGCATATAAAGCAGATAGTTTCAGTGAGGGGAACGTTGGTGAAAAGCGAAGTAACATCCATGGATATCATTTTCTTCCCAGATACATTAGCATCATTTATTGAGTCGACGAATTCAAACGAGTCAGAAACACTATGCTTGCAGAGGTTGTTTCTGATAGGTAGGAGGATATCTGTGAGCCATTTGGCAGTAGCATGATATGGGGAATTTGTCATGTCCAAGATTGGACGTAGTGGCACGTTCTCTTTGTGCACTTTCGGCAGACCATATAAACGGGGAATCACGGAACCGGAGGGTCGTATTTGCTCGAGTAATTCAGAGCTGATAATCGACTCGTTCTTCATCTTCTTTAGCATTTGTGTTAGCTTGTCTTCAATTTGTTCCGTTTGGTCTTTCTGGCTACTTTCTTTTGAAAATTTGTTTTCATCTGACAAGACTGATAACATTTTATCGATGTAGTCTTGGCGATCCATCAGGACAATGTCAGCACCTTTGTCAGGGCGTGTCAGAACTAAGTTTTTGTTTTCACTATGTCTTTCATGCTTACAGTGAATATCTCAGAATTTTAACTGGGAATATTATGACACTGTTACAATTTTCGAAAATATGGAATTCCGGAGTACCAATTTCCCTTGAATTACTCGGTGACTGATATAGTGAATTCTTTGGAAGAGAGTGCATATTCAAATGAACTGTCGTCAAAATTTGACCGAATAGTGCATATCACTAGCTTCATATCCGATTTTCAACTAACAATCATGTGCTTGGATTTGCTATAATTGCTGCAGACAAATCTCTTTTAAGATTTGAAGTGAAGTATTGGTGGGGATAATGAGGAATTGATTACATTAGCTAAGGTATTAGGTAATGTGTAGGTATGCTAAATAATCCCCTCGAACTGTTTATAAAGAGGGAGACAAGTCTTTAGGTGATAATCATGGGAGGATAAGGTTGGCTAATATAGTACTGCAAAGCTTAAGCTTCAGTAATCATGCGTAGACTAAGGAGTGTCCGGGAGGATAAACCCCGTGGAAGCCGAACAGGCGTCGTTTCTCATTCGGGTCTCACTCAAGGTGTTGGCGTGTGATGTTACTCAGCTTATGACCAATCCACCTGCATTTCCTTCGGCATATTTGTTGGGTAATGGGCTGTTGGTTGCTTCACTGCACTGCTTGAATCCCCTGTTGCTTATTCTTTCTGGCCGGTCATTTGATCTCCAGTGTCGAGTCTGTGAAGACGGTAGATGTTGATGACTCTACAGCAGCCTGTTGGAAATGCTTTCGGTGACGCGCAAGCCATATATGTGAGCCATATCGGAGCACTGACTAACCTGAAATTAATTTCAAGTTTGGATTTTTAATGTGCTATAGGTCTCCACAGTGATTTCAGAGTAATGAACTCCGTCTTTCTTGATTTCCTGACGCTAGCTGGTTATGACATCCTCATCCGTATTATATGTAATTGAGACGATACTGCCCAGATAAGTGAATGGGATGACTTCCTTTAGATTCCCCCGGTTTATATATCTTCAATATGTCTGTCTTGATATTCATCTGAAGTCCTACCTTCGTTACCTCTTTGTGTGACGTAAAATATTTGCATAATCCAAGTCGTCAAAGGTCTTTTTATCGGTCCACTGTAAACCATTCTTCTTACTCCCCTTGGTGTACCTCATAATCCAATCCGCCAAAATCGGAAAGATCCGTAATAGTACACAGTCATGTCTTCTGTCTTTACTTCAATGGCTTTTGTGTGCTTTGCGTTGTATACAATAAATTGTTTAAGTAACTTTATGTAGTCAATTTTACTATAGAACCTGACTCTTTAGTGTTTTCTTGTCATCACAAACGAAAAGGCAGTTATGCATAAAACTCACTGCCCTCTCCGACTATGGTTCTTAATTAGTTGAAATACCTGAATGTATGACAACCAATTTAAAATGTGTTGGCTATTCCAAGATACAACGAAAAAATTAAGTATCACGGTGTAATTCGTAATTTAAAAGATGTTTATTGATTCATTAATCAACTTTTACAATAATGCAGAGCTTGAAAACCATATAATATGCACTCCTGAAAGTAATGTGCATCATACTTAGTAACCCTGTGGGAATTGCGGGTATTACCATTTGAACAACTTAGTCCTTATAGTTGAAATTTTGTACACTACTGACAAATTCTAAGTAGCGCAAGTTGTTTCTCAGTTATTTTCGGGTAATACGATATATATATATATATATATATATATATATGTATGTATATATATAGAAAAGACAGAGAGAAGACTACTGAGCAGCAAACACGTCCTTTGATTGCTAGCTGTATATCACGTCTACGCTGGTTGTGATGTAAGTTGGCAAATGCCACACAAGCCTTTTGTATCCGTGCTGACATTCTTCAGCAATCAGTCCATTGGGGCGAATGCAATTTCCCAAA